AACTACATCAATCTATGAAATTTTGGGTTAGCTAATGGTGGTACATGCACATACACGCACAAAGAAGTTTATAGGCTTTTGTATTTTAGTTCTTGTTTGCAAAAAAAAAAAAAATGTTTTATCTGTACTTTGATGGAGGAAGTAAATTTGATTTTTCTGTTTGTAACTGCAAATGGTGCAGTATTTATTCAATTATAACATCCAGCTTCCATAATGGAGAGATTTTTTTTTTTGATTGAAAATAATCTCTATTCATTTCTCTTGTTCAATAATAATTTCTATTTTTATTTCTCTGTTCTTGTGTAGTATTTAAGAGAACATCTCATTTTTTTATGTAAAAATTGTAATTCCATAAAATTTGCTTGCTTTACAAAACCTTACTTAGTCTGGCACAAGGCCGATTAAGGTATATGAAGATTATGATACTTGATGTTTCATATGTTGGCCTGCCTGTTTGCCTTGAAACCAGCATTTGATACCCTGGCATTTATTTACCTGGCTTCTTATTTACTCTATGTGCTGTGTCCCCCTCAGGACAGTGATGATTATGGCTCTTCACAATTTCCTTTCCTTTGTAGGTCTTAATAAATTTTATCATTTTTTTTATCTCTGCTAAACCTTTTCCCTGTCAACCATTTACTCAAGCTTTTTAGGTAGGTTATGCATTGTTTCTTCTATTTCTTGCTTTCAATCTGCCCTGTGAGGATCAAATTTTCCAAATCCTCTTTCTTCATTATGCACCCTAAAAAATTTGACTGTCTCATCTTGATGTTAAGTGTAAGTGTCCTTTTTGTTTCCATTTTCTCTAAAATCATAAAAAAAAACACAGCTGCCACAGCACAAGTAATTTATAACGGTTGCTAGGTAGTCTTTTTGAAAACAAAAAGGCTCTTTTTATTAAATGTTAGTTTTTTTTTATTTTTGATTATTTTTAAGATAGTGTTTGACAAAATGGTGCAGTACATCAGTTCAAGTGACGGTTTCCATATAGGAATTCCTGTCAGAGAACACATTTTCTACAAAATTTCTTGAACATTCAGGCCAGTAAATGTAACTAATAATGTTTAATTAAAAACAGCATTTACATTGTATCTATAAAAATAACGTATAAACAGAATAAATTATTTATTTAAAAATATGATTCCAATTCGCGACATAAGAGGTCTCATGTTTCAAAACAAGAGCCGAAAACTTCAATATAATTATTTGAATTAAATTGAGTCAAAGTAAGCTCTGTTCCATCTTCAAGCGAAATTTTTTTTGGAATAACGTATTTCTGAAATTTACGTGTTTTAATAATTGAAATCAAAATTTCCATGGTAACAGCTAGGGCGAATTGTTTAAATTGGGTAGGCGTGTGTTGGGTGTTAATAATAAGTATCAGTATAGAGTTACTTTCATAGATGTCAAGTCAGGGAAAGGTGGGGGTGTCTAAATTTGAAACGGAAGATGTATTAACCCTAGTCTGGTATGCTTGTCTATGGAGGTTTATTTATTTTTTTATTTTATTTTTTTAGGAAAGGGATTTGTTCATATAAAAAACTGTCATAACGTTTGTTTTTTAACGACTTCATAAAGAGTTATCTTTTTTGTAGGGTATTTAAACTATTTATTTGCGCTATGGATTATGAAAGTTATTATATTGTATGCTTGTTCTTAGCTAATTATTCAAACCATGAATCTGATGATGCCTACAAAAAACCGTTAACTCATGTCTATTGTTTAATAGATTATTATTATTTAGAAGCTTAATAATGTGCAATTTCTCATGGAGGCACAAATATATGAATTTTTTTTTTTTTTTTTTTTTAAGTGTGTTGGTAAAGCCAACAGCTTCCTGAATAGAAAAAAAAGATTGAAAATATTTATTTCTCTTTTAAGTTTTTTTATTTACTATAAATATTTTGCTCTTTTCTTATTGTTATAACAATTTTGATAACTTTTACTCATTTTTATCTTTAACTTTTTGAAATCTTCATATCAACAGATGAAAATCTAAATTTCCAGGTTATTTTCTTGATTTTCTTTTTTCTTTAATTTTCAAACAATCTTCATTAAAATCAAATTTGATTTTTACAAGTTAATACATGCTATTTCCCCCCCTTTTTCCTTTTGTGATCTTTCTAAATTATACCTTGCTGCATACTGATAACTGCTGCTGATATCACAGTATTTTAGGTTTTAATTCAGTGGAGAGGTATTACCTGCAAAATAGAACCCCAGTGGAAAGCTTGATGTCATTAATGAACATATAAATTGACATTAGAAAATAAGGCAATTCACAATCTATTATCATATCATTTAACCAATTAGCCAAGCACACATATCAGCATGATAAAAATGCTGCTAAAGCTCACTTTGTCCATTCCAAACATCGAGTTCAATCCCTGGATCAGGTAACAAAGAAATATTTATTAATATGATGGAATAGCAGGTTATCATCATTTGGAAAAAATGACTGTTAAGAGTTCTGAAATTGACTCAAACAGATATAACGACATCCTAGTTTAAAAAAAAAAAAAAATAATGAGTATATCATGCCTCTTAGAATGAAAGGAAGTGTTCTGTTTGATATTCCCATAAAGTTAACAAGACAATAATACGAAGCTAACAGTGTATATGCAAGTTAAAACTAGACAAAGCAGCAGTAATAAGGCAAAAACTTCACAAAATAAGAAATGTGTTCACATGCAAAAGGGATACAGTCAAGTGAAGACAAGAAAGAACAAAAATATGCGGGATGAGATCGAGAATTTGTCCTTTTTCATTGGTTAGGAAGAAATCCCAGCATTCATCAGTAGGATTTGTCTATACATTTGGGGAGGTGTGTGTTTTCAGTGGTCATTCTTTCCAGAAGAGGAATTTGAACCAATATCCTGATTCCACAAAGAACAAATACCAAAGGAAATGATTTAAATCTGCCAGTCTGAAGCTGAATTCTGTTCATATGAAATGTATGATATTTTTGGAAAGTCCAAATGGCATTTTTATTCTTGCCCTTGCATCTTAGTGTTATTATCATCTTGTTTAGGGTGAATTGATAAAAAAAAAAAATAATATATATGTATGAACAAAATTTAATGAGGCCAGTTTGAGCTGATTGAATTTAGTCCAACTCATGGAAACAAATAACACCATTTACTAAACAACTGTGAATTTAAACAACTGTTTCTCATTGTCATTCTTGTGTTTTGTCAATGGTATTGTTTTTCTTTTTTGTGAATAAGAATTGTGTAATATGTCTATTATTACTTCGTCTAATTAAAAAAATACAACAAATCTACATTTCTTATATAAGGTGAAACGACGTAATAATGATGTTTACTTCACTAAAATATTATTTCTTTTTTAAAATTATTTTTAAATTAGGTTAAATGAATTAAAATATTATTTTATTAATACATACTTTGGACTGTTTTCAGCAAAATGAAAACTTGAACTAACAAGTCCTACTAATTACTATTTAGTCTTGATGACAGATAAAACAAAAACCCTTTATTTAAATATAAAAAGAAAATAAACAATTCATATTAAATAATTTAAAGCATTACTTGTTTTAAAAATATTATTTCATAACTAAAGTAATCAAAATATATTTTCTTAAAAAAAAATTTTTTTGTGGCATACATTCTACTTACACAAATCCATTAATATATTTGATTACAAATTCTTTGTAAATTAACTTTGGTATTTGTATAATATCTTTAAAAAATAAAGGTAAAAGTGATTTAGAGTTGTATCATAAACTGGGTTTCTTGTCTGTCTAAAACTGTTAAATTTGTACAACATTTCCTGACTATGTCCCTGCAACTTCAGTGGTAAACAAAAGAAGCTTCTCAAATTTGATCATTCTTAAGATGCAAAATGGATCAAGAATGGTTCTTTTCTGATTTGAATTTCCATCAAGAAAATTGTTGATTTAGAATGAAAAAAGAATTACCTGATAGGTTATTATATGAGAGGAATTTGCTATAAAACCAAACTGTTTGGAATTCATGTTTTAATGAACTAAGTGTTTATTTCTTATAAAAATGTATGCATTTTTACTTTTAATGTACTTGGATAGTAATCATTTCCTGTAATGCACTGATAATTTTACTATAGGAAAGCCTTTCATACAATTTTATGATAGTTTTACAAACAGCTGAGAAGGACAACTCTTAATTCAAAACTTCAGGAGATTTGTTTGGAAGCCTTGTGACACATTATGTGCACCAGTTGTATGTATTCAATTCTTCCAAAAGTGTTGGTTCTGCAAAAGCCTTCACCACTATAATCAAATAATGTATGAGTAGTCTGGCTGTTCAATTCTAAGAACTGAGTGGCTGAATCCTCATGCTGAAAAACAACAGGAGAGGCTATTATTATTTTATATATATATATATATATATATATATATATATATATATATACATGTGTGTGTGTGTGCATGTAGAATGAAAGCTCTTTACGGAGAGTAAAAATATTATTTCAGTGAAGGGAATGTGACAGTTTTATGAATGAGACATCATTGTGTATGTCCTCGGGTGTATACTTCTGCTGAAGTTTGTTTTTATTTCATCAACCATTATGGAACAGAATTAAAGTTAATGGAAAATATCTGATTGAAATAACTTTTATCTGTTAATCCTAAAATCATGCTCTGAAAATTAATGCCTTAAGCTACATCAAGATTGGCAAACATTGTTTGGTGAGTTTATAAAAGATTTAGAAAAATTGTGATTTAAAAAAAAAAAAATTCTAAAACTTGATTTTTTTATTTTATACAAGTGATTGTTATTCATTCATTTATTAGATGTCCCACCATTTTAATTTTTTCTTTTTCTTTTTTTATGTACAGAATTCGTAGGTTGAAAATAAAACTTGAATTTATCAAAAAAAATAATGAAAGCAATACAACACTGGTTATCTGTAAGTTGAGAAAAAAATGTTAATATTTCTAAGATAGGAAAATGATGAAATTTCTTTGTGTCATTTTCTTTTTCTTCTTTCAATTTCAGAATATTTCGGTCTGAAAGAGAAGTATGAGGAATGTGAAAAAGAACTACAAAGAGCATATAAAGTAAGTAAATATGTGTTATTGAATTTAAAAAGATGAGAAACTAACATGTTTTTATATCATTATATGCATACAGTTTGATAAGCTGATATGGTGGCTACAAATTAATTTATGACCACAAAGTCAGTTTAACAAATAGGAATAATCCCTGGAGACATGACAGAAATTGACTTGAGTAAAAGCATTTTTGCTTATAGAAAATTTTCACAAAGATATTCATCTTTTGATCTTTTATCTCTTTTTCTTGTATAATTAGATTGCATTATAAATGGTTATTCAGAAATTCTTCAGTTGAAATTTTAAGACATTTTTCTTATTTTTTATTTCATATTTTAAACTTTTACAAGGATTGTTTCATTTGGGATGAGGAGTCCTCATTTGTTATGTTATTTACAATCAGACTTTTCTCCACTTCATTATTATTATCACAACAACATGTGAAAGAATCAGTGCTTATGCTAGGAAAGAGAAATGTCAGCAAGGTTAAACAGCAGCAGCAGTAAGAAAAAAGAGAGACCTTGATGAATTCACTCAAGTGTGACAAGCAGCAGCAGATTCAGCAACAGGCAGATTAAGTTTAAGGCTCCACATTATACACTCAGGATTATCATATGGGACAATAGTATTTAAGTGTTGGTTCATGAATTTGCTGACATAGTAATTGTGAGTTCAATCTCTGGACCAGGTAGTGCCGAATTAGATTTGATGGAAACAGAGTGAGCAATTTCTGAGCAGTATTAAAACAAAAAAGATAGGATATCCCTAGATATGGACAGCAGAACAATCTACACCTGTAGATTAAACAAAGTGTTCAGTTTGAAATTACCTGAAGGCTATGCAGATTGCCAATCACTTGATGAAGGCTGGAGGGCCCAAGACCTGAAACTTTATGATAATAAAGATGAGGACAGGAGTCTGATTGTAAATAATGATTCTTCGTGTTGTTTTTTTTTTTTTTAATTTAAAATTTATTTTCTCTATAAATTTGGATTTGTTGGTAAAAAAATTGGAATAACAACCATCAATTTTATCCTTGAAATCACAACACTAATGTGGTAGAATATTGAACTACTGTATTAGTGTTTTGTTTCATTTTCCAATGCAAATTTAATGAGATTTTATATATATATATACCTGGAAGCTATTTGGGGGAAAGAAAACTGACTATAAAGAAGCTGCCACATTGGGCATTCTTCTTGTTAGATCTTCATGCAGCAGCATTTTATATTTATAAATTAAAAATGTCCCCCACCCCCCAGAAAGCATTTTGAAGTGCTCAATGTATGAATTGAATACCAAACTTGTTACTTGTGTTTTTTTTTCTTTTTTTTTTTTTTTTTTGTCAGAGTATTTAACTGAACACTAGTAGATGATTTGAGAATCTTTAATAACCAATATCTCAAATGATAGTCATAAGATTATCAATAGTTTAACTAATTTGACTGGACTCGTTTTGAAAAATAGCTTTAAAATTTTCTGTAACTTTGATACACATCAGTTGAATTCTTGTTACTGTTCCCACAATGCCTCAGCCAATCCATTCAAGTCAACTGTAAAATCTGTAAAGCAAAAGCATCACTATTTCTTTTTTTTTTTTAAAAAAGAGTAAGTCACTTGTCTAAATTTGAAATTTTAATAATTTTCTAAGCCTCTGATTTAATCTTTGTTTTTATTTTAATAATATTTTGTTTGGTAATTTGGTTGTCTTCATGAGGTTCTAAACCAAATGACCACCTGAGTAATATATTTACTAGCCTTAGTTTAGTCTGGCACAAGGCCAAATGAGGAGCAAATAAGATAATTGTTCTACTAATCTTTGTTGATGCTAGTAAAGAGAAATTGTTGTTCTTTATGTTGACTTTTGCACAAATACCCATGGGAATGGCATGAGTCCATCTCTTCCCTCCCACAATCTATGGGTTAAATAACAGGGTTGACTGGGCTTTCTTATCTGGATGTGGCAAACAATCTAGGAAAATTCTGAATTCAAAACAAGCTATCAGGTTATCTTGCCCCTAAACACACCACTGCTCCTGGTGTTGAATGTAGAATAAAGGGTTTTAAAAGGATTTATTCTACATTCAATACCATCACTTGAGAAGACGTCAGAAGTGTTGAAACAAAATGGCTATTTTTGTAGTGATTTTATAACATTTTTATATTAGAATTTTTGAATAAATGATTATATATATATATATATAATGTGTGTGTTTATAGAAGTAGTACAGTGTTGGTATTTTGCTAAATAAACTGCACAAATAATTGAATAAAACATTGAAATAAAGTAAGTTCATATTTGCATGTGTATTTTTTAATTTTATGGTTTTATTTCATAACATTTAAATGTATACCATTTAAAAATTTTGCTAAGTGTACCTTGATATTTTCATTTGCTCTTAAGTGTGCCATTGCTTAAAAAGGTTGAGAAACACTGAGTTAAATTGTCACCTCTGATGGTTCAGATGGGTTCAGCCCAAGTAGCTCAATTTAAGGTACTTGTTTTTCTCTAGACAGGAGAAACCTTTCAGTTGCCTGGTGAATTCTTGTCGGAGTAATTCAGGAATGAACAGACTTTCTACTGCCTGGATAATACCCATAAAATAATTTAACAGAGGATTTGTTTGCCTTGAAAATTGGCATTCAAAATTTTAGATTTTTTTTAACTGGGTTTGAACACTGACAACTGTTTTAAGAGTCAGCTAAACAACTGCTCCAGACCCATAGGAGGTTCAAGTCAAAACAAAGTGAAAATCTATTGTAACTTTTTCTGACACTTCTCTAGTCACACTTTAATCAGGCCAAACTATTTTGAGATCAGTGTTAATCTCTGGAGATTATGTATGGAAAAAATAGATGTTCTTTTCTTCATTTAACTGTTTTAGCTGCCATTGAAGTAAATAAAAAGTAGATTTATGTTAGAGTAAGTACTGATCTGATCTTTTCAGACAGATGAGTTGTATGGCTTTTTCAATCAGGATTTTGAATACTTCTCTGACAATGGATGAAAATATCAGCTAAATAGTTTTTCCTGAGTTTCTGAATTTTTTTTTTCTTTTCTTAAAGTCAAACCTAAATGAACTTTTTCAATATTAACTTTGTACAAAATACAAATTGCATTCAATGAATTGATCATTGTATATAATAACACTTGTAAAACTCTTGATGTTTTTAATGTTACTCTACATGGAAAATGATACAACCTGTGTCACTGATACCTTGCTGTAAATATATTTTAAAAAAATTTATTACAGGACTGCTATAAAATTAAATCCAACATCTATTTGCCATAGCAAATAAATTACACAATATAACAGCAGATAATCTTTTTTGTTAAGGAAAGGAGGTGAAAAAATAAAGTACACATTTTTACTTTTTGCCATTTTCTCTCCTTTTTCTTAAATTCTTCAGATCAAATTGATCAAACTAAAAATAAAATAAAATTATCTTTACTATGATTGGTTTAATCTCAATGAGTAGCCATGATATAGCTATGTGGTAAAACCTTTTTTTTTTTTTTTTTCTCCTGCTGAGTGATTAATTTTTTGATCTGAATACAAATTAGGTGTGATTGATTGTCTGGGAGAACAGAAAACTCTCCTACCTGACAATAGTTACAATATTCTTATGTGTCATGTCACTTCAGAGCATGGGTGATAATGGCTCTCCACAACTTCCTGTCCTTTGTAGCTCTAAGCAATGTTTGACATGTTACCATCTCTCTTTATCCATTCTCTACCATCCATTAAAACAAACTCATGGGCAATCATGGCTCTCTACAACTTCCTAAGTCCTTTTACCATCCATTAAAACAAACTCATGGGCAATCATGGCTCTCTACAACTTCCTGTCCTTTGTAGCTCTAAGCAATGTTTGACATGTTACCATCCCTTTCTCACTGCCACTTTCATGATATCCAGTGAGTGTTACATTTATTAGGTTTCCTTTTTCATATGTTGTAGAAATTTAAAGTTTCTCTTTCTGATTTTAAGTATAGGTGTCCTTCTAGTTCTGAGTTATTGTAGAGAAGTTCATAAATGAATTTCAAAGACAACATTTAGATATTTGTACATAGATTTATTTTTTTATAACTTTGTAACTGCCATTTTCTTCCACTGTCTTTTACCAACTTTAAGGCAGTTTCATACTTTCATCTTTCCAGAACTTGACATCATTTTAAGTGCTGAACTGGTCTAAAATTTTTATAGGCACTTTTTTTTATTGTTCAAGGCTCATGAGTCACTCAAGGTAGAGAGTTACTGATTGAGGAGGAAGTAAGAAGGGTAGTTTAAGAGAATATGTTCCAGAGCATTGATGTTTTTCTTATTAAGGCAATTTTGTAGGAATTGAAATAAGTGGCAATCCAAAGGTGAAATGTTAGGTGAATAGAGCAGGTGTAGCAGGACATCACATCTAAGCGGCACCAATTTCTGTTGGATTTTCAAAGAGACGTAAAAGGTCTGGCATTGTCCTGATAGAAGATGATATCTTTCCGATTGGAAAGTTCTCATTGCTTGTCATTGATTGCTGCTTTTAACTGGTCCAATCAGGTCTTATCTAGATTCTACATCTTATTTTTGTGTAAGCAGCTTGTAATGCACAATGCCCTTCCAATCCCTCCAAATATATCGCATCACCTTCTTTGGATGTGAAATAGCTTTTGAAGTGATTAACAATGGCTTTTTTCATTTTGCCAAGATCTTTTTCCCTCTACTTTGTCATAAAAAATCTATTTTACATCATCTGTGATTGTTCTTTTCAAAAACAGATTGTTTCTCTTGCATTTGAGCCGAGAATCACAAATGGAAATACAGTCCATTAAATTGTTTTCTGTTAAATCATGAGGCACTCACGCAACATAGTAATTCATGTACCAAGTGTTTTCAAATACTCGTATGTTGTATTTGTAGTGTCTCTGCAATGTCTTGTGTGATGTTACCTGGATTATTTTTCATTAGCATTTCAATTTGATCATCATCAACAAGTGCAGGTCTGTCGAACGTTCT